CCACTCAAACAGCCACCACCCTAGCTCAAGTCTCCACCTCTAACTGGTATCCCTCTGCCAAGTCTCTCACTTACTCTAATCCACCTATACTAAGCTGCAATGTTTGACCATGTAACCGCCTCTCCCCCAACCCCAGTGAGCTCCAGTGGCTCTCTATTATGTTCTATATCAAATATAAATTCTACATGGAGTTTAAAGCTCATCAGAACCTGCTCTCTTCCTATCTTTCCAGTCTTCATACACTTTGCTCCTGCCACATATTCTATAAGCTAGATACTTTGGCCTACTTGCTGTTCCTCACATATGACACTCTATCTACACTCTTCATTGCTTTGCACTGGCTGCCCCTACCCTTACCCATGCTTGGAATGCTCCACCCCATCACCTCAGTTTTCCTAGCTTCCTTCAAGACTCAGCTCAAATTCTATCTTCTGCTTAAGGTCCTTTCAAGTTTCATTAGCTACTAGTTCATTCTCCTCTCAGATTACCTTCTAGCTACTCAGTATATATCTTGTATGCATTATTTATTTCCATGTTGTTTTCCCTGCTAGATTGTAAACTCTAGGGACACAGATAATATTTCCCTTTCTTTGTGTGCCCAGATTTGATATAGTTCTTGGTACATATTAAGCACTTAATTTATTAATGTTTGTTCACTAACTGAATGACCTTACTTTTACAGATTAAAAAAATAAGGCTCAGAAAAATAAAATGATTTGTCCAAATTCACATCACTAATAAGCAGCAAGAGCTAAAATTTGAATCCAGGTCTTCTGACCCTAACTTGTGCTCTTCTCACACCTATAAATCAGTGCTCCTCAAAAGATGTTGTTAGGTTTCTCACTAAATACTCCCCAAGCCTAGAGATTTCCATATTTGCTAGACTTGGACCCCAACTGAAGTTTGTTTCCTTCTGTTCTAGTCTTAATGTTAGGAAGGTCATAACATCAGGTTTATCTGAAGGATGTACAAAAGGTTGGAAAAGGAGAGTTTGAGAAATGCCAAAACCTGAGTAATGTGTCCAGATGCCAGACTGTACTGGGAACTCTTCTTTGTTGCCAACTTAAATGTTCCAAATGATGCAATTTCTCACAACAAAGGATACTTTGCCATGAGCAAAATAAGTTTGGGACCCACCACTTATAAACCAACATTTTTCATTATCTACTATCACCAAATGAAAATATTTCCAATCAGTAACAAATTTCACTTTAAGGTTTGCTTTGAAAGGACCAGTTTCACCATGAATATCTGATTAGCACAGAGCTCGTCACATAGTAGCTGCAAAAAAAAATGCTGATTGATTTGAAAAATTACAATAAATTAGAAAGATCTCAATAGAGTGACTATATATCATTGTAGATACAACCTACAGGAAAAAAGACATACAATTTGAAAGATGTTTCATTAAAATATGTTAAAGATTTCAAGAAAGGAGAATTTCCTAAAGTTTGCAGCCTCTGATAATCTGACACATCAAACATCTTATTATTATTTATCTTCAGGAGGAATCCCACGAAATCAAAATGGACATGCCAAATTACTGGGTATTCTGAATATTATATTTAACTCCAAAGCTGGCTTCTTTTTGTTCTGTAAATACTTGTTTATACTGTTAGAATTTTAAACTGAAAAGTAGGCATATGTTGGTTAGATCTCCCACAGTAACTCTAAATAGTATAAACTCAACTTCATTCATGAGGAGGCAGTGTTGAGGAAGTAGAAGAAAGCATGTTATATCATAAAGATCCTCTTACTTCGAATTAGATTACCAGGGTTCTAGCCCTGAATTTGCCATTTACTCATTACATCTACTTATTACTGGTCAAGTCTTTCGAAACATATTTTAATTGATATCTTCTGGTTTTACATCACCTATATTTTTCAATGCATTCTTCCTCCATCCTATCCCACACAATCATCTTTTATAATAAAATATAAAAAAGGAAGGAAAAAAAGTTCTGTAAAACTGAACAAAACTTTTTTAAAAGTCTCCCAGTAATTCAGTGGAATAGAGGGAGGTGTATTCACATATCTTTTGGGGGGCCAAATTTAATCATTATAATTCTCTGTGATCTTCAGTTTCCTTATCTGTGTAAGAGTGTGTTTTAACCTTTACTCCAACAATCAGCAGATGTAGTAAAGTTTTAAATGCGTAAACAAAATGTTCTTTGATTTGATGCGAATTTCTTTGATTGCATAATGAAAGTAATGTGACTTATTGAGAGGGTCATTATTGGACCTATGTATAAAACAGCAGCCAGCCCATTAGACTGTGAACTCCTGGAAAGCAGGAACTATTGTGCGTTTCTTTGTATCCCCAGAGCTTAGCACATTGCCTGGCACGTAGGAGGTGCTTAATAAGTGACTGAACTATTTCTGAGGACAGTAAAGCAGTGGGTCAATTAACTGGGAACTCAACAGTGCCTGGAGGAAACTTTTATGCCTATACCAAACGTCAGCAGAGGGGAGGGAGGAAATGAGCCAAGAACTATTACACTCATTCCTCTACCCCATAATGACCAAGTTATTGGAGACATTGAATAGCAGGAAACAGAGAACAACCACAGAGAGACGGCTTCGCAAAGGAAACAGCAACTTTAAGGAGTATAATCCTTTGCACCAGAAAAGAATGACAGTTATGGACCCATGAAAGGACTTCAAGTAAAGAGGAGTTGAAGGTTTACCCCTCTGCCACACCTTTACTCCACGTGTATGCCTCAATACCACCATACTCTAAGTTACAGCCCACTCTTCCCATTGATCCATGGGTAGGGAGAATGTGCTCAGGTTTAGGTGGAAAATATTTGTCTCAACTGTTCTTACTGTACCACTTTAGTAAATCTTTTCTGAAAGCTAATTAATATGGTTACAGTACTGTTAACGTAAAGCACGCCAGTAGAGCCTTGTGAGCAACAGTACTGGAAACACAGCCCCTAGATGCCTGAAACTAGTAGTAATAACTGCCCTCATAGGATAGAGCCTGCCAGTGCTAGGGGTAGTTAGACAATTATCCCTGAAAGCAGTGTTACATCTATAAAATAGAAATAATAATGCCTATATTTTACATTTCACTCTTGTAAGAATAGTGCTTTGTAAAATGAAAAGTTCAATAGAAATGTAATTATTACAGAATATAAATACAGTACCTTTATATCTACTATCATATATCTATCACACTATCATAATTCTGACTGGATACAGGCCTGAAAACAGAAAACTACAAATTCAGATCCTTGTTCTGTTGACAAAACCTTGCACTGAGTAAATGCTTAATAAATGCTTTTTCATTCATTCATTAAGTACCTACTACATGTCTTTCATTGGGTCATATCTAATCCATTGAATTTTAACTCATCAAAATACTTATAAATTTATTAGTGCCATATTTCTACTGCTTTATTGCATTTAAGTCTGGCATATTTTCCGTATTCCTTCTAGATTTCAGGCTCTGACTTAATAGCTTTTTCAAGTTTCCTTAATGGTCAGGCTATTTGTAGCAGCCAGTGGCCAGCACTGGTGACAGATTTTTTTTCTTTAAGATAGTGCTTAACAGAATGTAGGAGACTTTAGGTCTTCATTCATTACCTTGGGTTTATTTGATTGTTTTTAATTTCACTCATTTGTAATCTTGTTCATTCATAGTTCTGCCTAGAGAAGAAAGATGACTATTTTAGGGCCTCAAGAGATGAATTCTTTCTGCCCAACTCTAGGAAAAAAGCATCATTCCTACCCCACTATTCATGCTGCCATGTCCCTTAAGGATGTAATCATAACAAACCATTAGATATTCCTATCTTATTTTCTTTCCCATGCCCATTTTATTGCTCTGGAGAAAAATCTGGATTTGCCATCTATAAAGTAATTCTACTACCAAAGAACAATTTAAAAAAAAAAGATTGATGTAGACAATATAGCAACAATAACAACAACAATAAAAGGTAACATTTCTATAGCACTTCAAGGTTTGCAAAGTGTTTTATGTAAATCAGCTGATTTGATTATAAACAACATGTTTATGTCAATGTTATAGGGTCCCATGCATAGTAAAGAGAAGCAACAGGGTGTGGTAGAGAGCAGGCTTCAGCAACAGGTTGACCTGGTATCAAGTTGCTTGCTGCTGTGTGACTTGGGCAAGTCACTTAACCACTTAGTGTTCTAGGCTACTTTTTAAGATTATAAGAGGAAGAGAAGGTGCATTAAGTCTCAGTACTTTGTTCTGATTTCAAAGATAGAAATCAAAGACTATAAAGCATTCTCCAATGCCTTGCCTTTCTTTGTTTTGCTTTCATATTCAACCAAATCTATATTTGTTAAACTATGAATGTAAGTTTAATCAAGCTTTTTGTGACATTTCTTTAATTCCAACACACAACTTTGAAGCTATAGCAATAAACTTGTAAAACCCATTCTTGCCAAACTCAGGAAATTATTATGAGATCAAAATAATAATAAAAATAAAAATAAATATAGAAATGTACTATTAAAACAGAACTATAATTTTTTTGAATTTCAAAGTATGATAAATCATGAAGTATAATTTTACAGGGTTTTGCCATTTTTTCAAAAGCATACAGTAGCACATAAAAAATTCTGTAGTATATTTTGCACACAAGTAAAACACAATTGGTAAGAAGTTTAACTAATGACTTTTATCTACTGCAGCTGAATGGAAAGCAAAGGGGAGAAAATCAGGTAAGTATGAGTAACAATCTTGGTGAAGACTTAAGATATTCAGATCACATACCATGAAATGCTACATCTGAAATAAATGTATTTCATGCTGAAAAAAAAATCTTTTGTGGACACTTCCCCCAACAGTACTAATTTATCCAAACTGACCACACACAAAATACTATGATTTTTTTAAAATGATACATAAATAATTTCTGCTGACACAAATATCACTTCATTTCAAAAATGAGATATCATATACTCTTAGGAACTGGCACTAAGACATTATAAAACTGGAGACTTTAAGACAACACAAAAATACTTACATCCACCCATAAATTATTCCTTCCAAATAATGTCCAATGTTATCTTTATTTCTCTTTAATTTGAATTACTTTCAGCCAGAAGACAAACAATTTAGAGCCAAGTCTGTATAACAAAACTACAAAAAGCATCTTGAATTCACTACATAAAAAGAACTAAAAAATAGGAAGTATGTTTCATAACAGTGCTTCTAGCATTGGTGCAGCTCAAAGGAACTACGCAAGTAAAACATTTCTAAATTCAGTTAAGATATTTCAAATTGAAATGAAATATCTAGAAACCTGGGGGTGAGAATGGTGTTTTGAGGAAAAAAGACATGTGATATGGATGCAGTTAGTCAAAATCAGAGGACTTAGAGCTAGAAGGAACCTTAAATGAGTATGTGGCAAAATATTTTCCCAACTTTAAAGTGCTATATAAACGAATTAATTATTATTATCTAGTCACATATTATAAAGTAATGAGGTACAGAGAGGTTAACTGAGTTGCTTAAGGTTAGACATTTGCTTAAACAATAGAGCCCAAACTCCAAACCAGGTCCTCTGTTTCTCTGAGGGCGGATAACCTCTTCCTCCATAAGTCCGAGTCATTCCATATTATTTCAAGTCTACTAACTCATCATTTCATACACCACAGCAATATGCCCACCTTACATAGTTGTTTTTAACAGTCCAAAACAACATTGATACACATGGCTGACACATAATGTAGTTTCCCTATTTTTCTCTTTTGATTAAATCTATTTTAGCCTTAATTTTGTCCAAGATCATGGTTGCCACCCCTGCTCATTTGCTCCTAACAAATTCTACTCCTGATCTTTATTTTATTTTTGTGAATATCTCTTATTTCCTATCCCTCCTTACTCCTCTACTTCTACCTACTACCTTGCCTTCTGAATAACTTAACCTACCCCCTTGCTCCAAGAATCCCTCTCTTATCCTCCCATTCCCATTAATCTAAATACCCTTCTTTTCAAAAATACTTATTTTTACTTTTCAACATTCACTTTTATAAGATTTCGAGTTCTAAATTTTTCTCCCTCTCTCCACTCCCCCCTCCCCAAGACAGTAAGCAATCTGATATAGGTTATACATATTCAATCATATTTAACATATTTTCACATTAGTCATGTTGTAAAGAAGAATCAGAACAAAGGGAAAAACCACAAGAAAGAAAAAAGAGAGAGAGAGAAAATAGTATGCTTCAATATGCATTCAGACTCCACAGTTCTTTCTCTGGATATGGATAGCATTTTCCATCATGTGTCCCTTGGAATTGTCTTAGATCACTGAATTGCTGAGAAGAGCTAAGTCTATCAAAGATGATCATCGCACAATGTTGCTGTTACTGTGTACAATGTTCTCCTGGTTCTGCTCACTTCACTCAGTATCAGTTCATGTAAGTCTTTCCAGGTTTTTCTGAAATCCACCTGCTCATCATTTCTTATAGAACAAAAGTATTCCATGACATTCATATGCCACAATTTGTTCAGTAATTCCCCAACCAATGGGCATCTCCTCAGTTTCCAATTCTTTGCCCCCAGAAATGAGCTGCTATAAATATTTTTGTACATAAGTCCTTTTCCTTTTCTTTTTAATCTCTTTTGGGATACAGACCTAGCAGTGGTATTGCAAAGTCAAAAGGTATGCATGTCACCACTGCTGGGTGTTGTGTGATTCTAATTGTGGCACTGCTATATTTAAATTATTGGACTACCTGAAAGCTATGATCAAAAAAAGAATCTTGATGAAATAATTAAAGAAAATTGTCCTGAAGCATTAGAACAAGAGGGGAAAGTAGAAACAGAAAAAAGTCCACTGATCACCTGAAAGAGATTCTATAAGGAAAACTGACAGGAATATGCTTTTTCATCTTGATTTGTTCTTCAGATCAGTTGTTTTTCTTATGAGATGTTTCACATTCTCTTCTATTTTTTCCATTCTTTATATTTTGTTTTATTACTTCCTAATCTCTTATACCTTCACTGGTTTCCCCTTGCCCAGTTCTGATTTTCAAGGAGTTGTTTTCTTCCTTAATATTCTGGATCTCCTTTTCTAATTGGTTGACTTTCTTTTCATAATCTTCTTGTTTTTCTTGGATTGTTGTTCTTATTTTTTGAGATTTTCCTCAATCTCTCCCATTTGATTTTTAAAGTCTTTTTTAAGTTTTTCTGTGAATTTTTTTGGGGCAGGTGACTATTTGACGTTACTCATTAGGGAGGAAGAGGGTTTCTTTGATTCAATATCCTTCTCTGAAGATGAACCACAGTCTTCTCTGTTCCCATAGTAACTCTCTATTGTTGGATTCTTTCTCCTTTGCCTGTTCATTTTTTCCTTTTATTTGTAGCAGCTTATTTTTTGTAATCACCTCTAATCCTGGGATATGGGTGATGGTGCCCCTGGACTCAGGTTCTCCTTCAGTTCTCTCCTCTGCCCTGGAACCAAAACCAAGACCTCTTACCCTCCTGTAAGTGCAGACAGTCAGCAGCGTAACCACTCCACTGCTTTTGTACTCACTGGGCCTATACTGGTTCCTTCTGGCCCAGGGCCCACATCTCCGCAGCACAGCTGTGTCTGGCATTCCTTGTCAGCAGAGGTTTCCTCGACCTTACCTGGCTCAAACATCCAACTCACCTCACTGTTCCAGGAGTAAAAGTCCCTGTGGCTGGGACAGAGGAAGCCTCCCCACCCAGATAACCCCAGGGCTTGCAGCTTGTTAATTTAAGTGGACCTAGCCTAGAGGTGTTTCATAAGGTTCTTTATAAGGACCAAACCTCATCCTCAGATTTTTCTTCAGATCTTATCCAGTTGTTCCTGGAGGACCATTGTTCTGCCTCTACTCTAATTTATTTTTACCATTCTATATTTACCCTGAGGGGCTATTCATTGGGGAAATTTAGAGAGCTTGACATTTTCTGATCTACTTCTCTATCTTCCAGAATCCTCTCTCAAAGTCATTTCATTTCATGGAATAGCTTTCATTCCTTCCAAAACTGATTAAGCATTCTCCCACCTAGCTTAACATCTTTCACTGTTATATTCACAGCATAGATGCTCTCTCACCTGATAAAGTTATCGGGGTAGAACAACTTGTTAGTTGCATAAGTGGGGTAAGGTGATTGATTCAGTTTACTCCCACACTTATATAAGGTATAACACCAAACCCACAATGGTCAGTCAGAGAATCCTAGTACCCTATTTCTTCTGATGATAACAGTCATAAGAGCTATTACTCGAGCCAAATATTTGCCCATTATACAAGGTGTCCCAAAGGTCTTAATGTGGTTTTAGGATATTAAAGCTTAAAACTGCACTAAGACTTTTGGGACACCTTTTGTAAGCCACACCCTTGCTTCAGAGGGAAGAAGTCCTTTATTGTGAACCAGGCTCAGACTACAGTTTTGGGTTAAGTGATATATTTATTTTAGAACTCTGATTTAATTGAGTACTGAGAAGTTATTTTTGAAGTTGTTCCACTTTCTCTTTGTCACCTTCCTAAATTTCCCTTCCAGATTCATTTCTTGCTCTAAATGCTGCTTCTCTAGTTTTACAAGGTCTTCTGAAACTGGAAGAGCTTTAGTAAGTTTCTCCAAACCTCCCATACAAAGTCAGATATGATACACATAATCACTAAGGTCAGCTACCATATAACTTTTTACAAATCAAAAGTCTTCTTGGCTATATAGCCACATTATATTAGTCTGTACTATTCATTGTTATAATCAACCCTTCCTCTCTCATATATATTCACTCTTTTCTACTGCCTCCTTTCCATCTACCTTCAAACATCTCTTCCTAATTCTGACAAAGACTTTCCTTGACCCTTCCATCCCATCTCCTCTCTCCCTGCACCTGAGACATCTAGAAAAAGTGAATTACACCTGAGCTTCTTTCACAGGACCCATTCTCTTCCCACTGACTTTGAGCTAGTTTTTAATTCAACCACTCTAGTGAAACTACTTTCTTAGTAGTCTTCAACAGCTCACCTATGAAGCACCAAATCCATTAACCTTTTTCAGTCATCATCTTACTTTGCAGCATTTCACACTGTTGACCACTTCATCAGAGATACTATCACAATTTGGTTCTCTTTCTACCTCTTTAAAATTACCCCTTCCAATTTCTTCCCCTAGCTTTTCAACCTCTTCCCCACCCAAGAAAATGCATTCTCCCCAAGATTTTTCCCTCTTTTCTATGTTCTCCTCTTCAGCAATCTTATTCACTATCATAACTTCAACTCTACACTTTCATGACTCAAACCTCTACAGAGATAATGCTCAAAGCTTTTTCTCTAGTTCTGACATTTCTTCTGAGCTCCAAACCTCCAACTCCAACTCTCTGAAAGACATTTCAACCCGAATATCCCTCTAGCAACTCAAATTCAACTTCCCATAAACAATGGTATTATTGACCCACAATCTGCACCTCCTCTGTCTTTATCAGTCCTATCAGTGGCACTACCATTCACCCATCTTCTCGTGTTTGAAACTTTTTCATTATCTTTAGTTCTATGCTCCCTCACCTTTCTTTCTCAATCAGGTATCAAGCCTGTTGCTTCTACTTTCTCAATACCTCTTGCTCTCATCCCCTTTCTTTCCACTTCCACTACCCTAGAACATGACTTCATTACCATTCTTCTTGAATACTATAACAGCAACTAATAAGTCTTTTGCCTCTACTTTTCTCCCTCACCACCTCCATTCTGTACCCCCTACCATTACCAGAATAATTATCCTTCATAGATCTGGTCATGCTACTTCTTAGTTAAAAAAAAAATCTATAGTGGCTCATTCTCTACCAAGTTCAAAAACCTTTGAAAAGATTGGCACCATCTCAACTTTCCAACTTAATATCTTATTACTTCCAGCCTAACCCATACATACATACACACACACACACACACACACACACACACATACATGCATGTACACACATTCACACTTCTCTCCATCGAAACTGACTCCTCAATTTCCTCATCCATAAAATCAGCTAGAGAAGGAATGGCAAACCACTCCAGTATCTTGGCTATAAAAAACACAAATAGGGTCACAAACAGTCAGATTCGACTGAAAATGACTGAGCATACCACCTTCTAATCTCCAAACCCTTGAAAACTTGTCTTACCACTGATCACATTTCACCAAAACTCAACCCTAGATTTCTCCCACCAACTACTTCTTTCTCTCTTCTATTACCGGTGCTGTTGAATGGGGCTAAAAGAAATCACAAAATTCTGCTGGCAGGGCATACTGCAAATTTGTGTTATCTAAGACCAACTGGGCCCTCACTATAGTAAAGCAAATATTTTATTCCAACCTAATCAATTGATATCACATGTTCTCTATGTAGGTAGTTCCAAACTTCCTTGTCTGTTCTCAAGCTTCACCTGGCAACTTTTTCAATTGGGAAAATTTGCCTCATACTTAAAAAAAAATTGTGGTCATTCACTAGTATCTATCTTTCCTGGCCTTTTTATACTTACCATGTCATTTAAGCATCTTCCTCCACTCCAATTTCACACATAAAGGTGGCCCTTCTTGCCAAAGCCAAACCCTCTAATAGGCAATCTTGATCCCAACCCCTCCTGAATTCTCCAGCAATCTGACCCCACTAACATCTCCAACTCTATAAGAATCTTCAGTCTCTCCCAACTTACTGGTTCCTTCTAAGCTGCCTACAAAGAATGCCCATGTTTCCTCTATCTAAAAAACAAACAAACAAACAACAACAACAAAAACCAATTATCTTGCTAGCTATCATACTCTCTCCCTCTTCCTTTCTGTGGTTAAACTCCTTGAGATAACTGTCTACAATAGGTACCTCCACTTCCTTTCTTCTCACGCTCTTCTAAATCCTCTGCAAGCTGGCTTCTGACTTCATCACTGAACTGAAATACCTCTCTTGAAAATTACCAATGCTTCTCTTCATTGCCAAATCTAGTGATTTTTTTTTATTCCAATCCTGATATTCCTGAAACAGCATTTGA